CCCCTCGCCCTTGGATCATCCAAGTAAAATACATGTTCCACCATTTTGGCGAGGATGTACGGATCATCCTCAAACCACCGGGTGTTTATTCTAACCGACAACAAGTACATATCTTGAATGAGACTGTCTATTTTGTCTTGGTTTGTATCACCCCAATGACATTTGAACAGTATGACTTCATTTGTGTATAACAATTGAATCATACTTAAAAAGTTTCTTAGAAAATAAGTATTCTCATTTACCCCCATGACGATATGCTAGTTGGAATACCTTTGGTAATGATCATATCACATTCAAAAGTATACTTTCTGTGTTGCGGTCACTCAACTATTTCGGATCACAAAAAATTCGGCAACATCTCTCTAGGGTTCCCTAATTGCACGATGTAGATATTATAAACAAATATCTAGTATGCACTCGAAGAACATTACAGGAATACAACCAAATTTTTCACGAACGAAACTTAGCAATGTTCACCACACATACTAATGCACTCCCAAATTGTTCGAACTGGACAATTCAAGAATCCATTAGATCGTGGAGCCGCATACTGCGTCTACACACACATCCAACAGAATCTCAAACAGGTATAAGGATTTTACGAATTTAGTATACAAAGTTAATCAATATATTTAACTTCATATATTGAAATTTTAATAAATTTCAACCACAATTTCCTAGACTAATGTTGTCCCAGTTAAATTGGCCTAAGCTACATATATTTCAATAACACATGAACTCATAATTTCACATAACACCTAATTTCAACATACATAGACATCACAATTAAACAAATTCAAACTTACTAATTTATAATTAATAGACAAATACATTCCCTGCCTTTAATTTACTTCCAATCCTATCACAAACCTACAACAATCAAAATTAATTAATCACACATTTAAGTAAAAAGTTATTCAACCATTTAAAAGAACTAACCTTAAATTAAATGGGAGAGGGAGAGATGGAGGAGAGGGTGTGAGTGTGGAGAGAGAGAGGGAGGGAGGGAGCAAAAAACAGTAGTGGCAGGATGAAGAAAAAAAGAAGAGCGGCAAAAGAAGATTTTTACATAGACAACATTGAGCAAAGGTTTTGTCTATGAATTTTTTACACGTCATTGTGGGCCTTTGCCCATTGGGCCGACGAACTGGGCATTCGAGCAACATTAGGGCTGGTTTGATATTGCTGTACTTTGAAAAAAATTGTTTCTGCTGTGCTGTGAGAATAAGCGGCTGTGAAATAAAGCTGTAGAGTGTTTGATAAATTTTTTTGTAAAAATGTTTTTAAAAAAAAAAAAACAGTATTATCGTGTTTGGTAAATTTTATGTAAAATATATGTGAAAAAAAGCCGGTTTTTCAAAGCTGGGTTTTGCAGCTTCTTGTTTTTGTCTTTTTTCACCTAAAACTGTGAAAAAAAGTTGAAGCTGAATGTTTACCAAACACAAAAAAGCTCACAACTTTTTTTATATCAGTTTTTTTCAGAATCACCTCAATACCAAACCAGGCCTTAATCTAGTGACAAACATCAGTTTCATTGAGCAAACCTAAAGATATTCTGCGCCAATTTTTTTTCTCTTGGCGCCAAAACATTGCCCGACGAATATTACCTTGCCCTACGACCCTCTTCCATTGTGTAAAGTTTTGAGTAAACCTAATTATTAACCAGTTTTGCCCTATCAACGAAAAAATTAGTCAAGTGCCTTAACCAGACAAAATTTCATTCGTCGGGCAAAATTTTGTAGGACAAGCCCTAATTTCTGGTAGTGGTGGTGACACATCCGTACAAGCAAACTTTACATTATCTAATAAAAAGAGATCGATTATACATGCCAATCTTTGTCAAATTGGCAACCATCATACCAATGTCGAACGATGCTTAGTGCTTCAAAACTTTGATACACATATCTTTGTAGTGGAATGTCGTTATCGAATTTACGTATAAACAATAACCATATGCTGACTTGCGTAATCTACATAAAAGTTGTGTACAGCTTATGCAATGATATATACAGTAGAATCAATGCTGCTGGAAACAAGTGTCGATCTGTTGTCATGATTCGTACAAATTAATACTGCTTACAATGTTCATTTATGTATTTTAAGTGACTTTTTTTTTAATAAAGGGAAATAATAATTTCCTTGGTTCTAATATCTGTTTATTTATTATCAATAAAAAAAAATCAAATGTACAGGGATACATCATTACGATCTGTGAATTTAAGCTACGATTCTGCATCGCAGCTGGCTGCGCTCGACAATTTGCATACCATCAGCTGGAATATGACATGGCCTTATCCCCCCACTAACTTCACTTAATTAAGGAGACGTGTGACATTTTAAAACTTCTATAATGCCTTCGTTATCCACTCTAAATTTGCATCCAAACGAACTATATTAGCCATGTCAGCAATCTATCCTTGTCTTGAGATTATAATTTGATGATGATCACCTTTTATGTTAAGGTTAATGTAAATACACTAAAAATGTCATGATACATATTTATCACTTCTACGGTCTTGAGATTTTGGGATATATTTTATTTTCTAAGTTATTTTTGTTTTTCACTAAAGTACGATATATTTATTTCATCCAATAAGGGACTTAACAAAGATATATTCATGAACAATTAAACTCTAAAAGGATTCTTACAAACTATACTAAAAATATTACAGTAATGATAACTAAATGCAAAACAATAAGCAGACTTTAAGCACTTCTAAGTTAGCCAATTTTGAAGAAACTATATTTAGGTTTCCTTTGTTTCTATGGATTTAGGTATTCTGTTCAATTAGGTTTGCTTTATTTCACGTTTTGAGTTTGCCTTATCTATTGTTTTCTTCCTTTCATGAGTAATTATAACACTGTTTTATTTCAGGTAACAGTTGTAGTATCAATCTCTTCATTTTTTTTACTTCCAGCTTCTGCTTTTGTTGGTCTTCGGGGTTATGGATTATTTAGTCATAAATTTTATACGAGGGAGAGGGAGTGAAAAACATAAACAGTCTATTTGATTATCGAATCATCATATATAAAAATCGAACCAAAGTAAAAAAAAATGAGTGGAATGGATATCAAAGAAAAAAAAAGGAAAGAGGTGAAAAAAATTAATATAGCCCATTAACATAAAGAGAAATGCTTATATATAGCCGCCTTCAGCTATTGTTAAAAATATAAAAGAATGCCCCATATTTAATAAAAGGAAACTAATGAAAGAGATTGAAATTTGAGTTTTAATGATAAGAAAAAATAAAAATAAATATGACTTTTTAGTGTAAAAATGATTTTTCGTAATGAACAGTACCGGGTGCTTTTCGTTAAAGTTCCCTTTAAAAGCCCATAACAAGTGAAGAAGAAAAAACTTATATGCAGCCAGCTATATTGTGAAAAAGACCCGAACCATGTAGGATTATAGAAAATAAGTCTTATAATCCCGTGTAATACAGAAATAATTGATTTTAAAATAAATAATAACTTGCGAAAAATCGTAGAAAATGAACGGTTGAAATGTATATCCTAGATTCCCACCTAATGGATCCGGGGATCAAAAAAAGAGTTAAGGGGTGAGCCCCTAATTTAATATAGCCATTGAACAAAAGAAAGAAAAATGCTTATATACAGCCAGCCTATCATGGTAAAATCCCTTCGAATATTATGTTTAGAGATCCTCACATTTCACCGTTTATCGTGTATCGTATGGTCAAATCATTAATTAAACAAAGTAAATACTTGACGAAAATGATCGTACGGTACATGATACAGCTGAAATGTGATGATTCTAGGATTCTCACGTAATGGACGGAGGCATTGTGGCTATTGTAAAAAGAGTTAAACATGGTAGCCCCATAATTAATATATCCCATAATTGAAGAAGAAATGCTATATATAGCCAGCCTACATTGTTATAAAAAAGAATATTGAGTTTTCTATATCTACAAGAACTATTGACCGTACAAATTTATTTTTTCCTGCAGTTAGTTCATTATTTTTTTTTACGATGAGAAATACTTGTTTATAAAAAATTATCACACACTATTTCAAAGGAATAATTTCACTTCAAACCGTGTTAGACGACATTTAGTCAATACAAAACTTTTCCATTTATAGTCTTTGTTTTTTTTTTTCTTTTCTTCATTGCTTGCTTGCAATATTCACAAATGTTTTAACTTAGGCGTGTGACGAACCGGAATGGAATACGAGACAATTTTCCATCAGGAATCCAACTTGTGTTTCCAATCACATCAACCCTTTTACCACACTACCCAGTCCTCCCCTTTTCCACCGAGTTGCGACTCAAGTCTCAGCTGAACGGGCCAAGCTGGCCGGGTTCGGATTTTTATGAAAAGGATGGGTTTCGAAGATGAGTTGGGAAGAGTATTGTCGTTGGCGACGACCGGATTTGGAACTCGTCAGTGCGCATTGAAATCGTCTGGGAAAGAGGAGAAAAGAAAAGTAAAAAGATGGTGAACTGAAAGATTGGGGATGGGAAGAAGAGTATCAGGGAGCAAGGATGACGGGGAAAAAAGAAAAAAGAAAATAAATGAGAAGAAGAGATTTACGGAGGAAGGGGGTTCAGGAAGAAGATGGAGAGAAGAAATGAAAAAAGTTTTTTTTTTTTTTTTTGTCAAACGATAAATTAGAGGTTAGATTAGAAAGGCGACGGTTTCGAATAATGTCGTGGTGCGAGGACAACACTCCTCTCTATCATTATAGAAGACCATTTGCAAATAATTTAGGATGAAAAAGAAAGAGTATCACATACCAAGAGGGGGAAAATGGAACTGTGGGAGTGGAAAAAAATTATGAACAGTACAAAATAAAAAATTAAAATTTATACTAAAAAAAAAAGTAAATTTATTGCAATAGGAACATTTTAGTAATCACATTAATTTTCATTCTGACTCATATATTTCAATAAACAACTTTATGGATAAATAAGATTCCTATTCTAATTTTAGGAAATTTTAGTAGATAATTTTAATAGAAATTCGATTCTAACTCTACCCTATTCCAACTCCTCAATTCAAATTTTCTCGTTATGATTATGTATTAGTAAACAAGCCATTAGTTTTATACTTATCGGTTAAGGGAATGCTGCAGCTTTCTGCTCAATATCTTTTAATTGAATAGTTTGGTTGTGTATATGCATATGTTTTGGTTGTGTAAGTGTCTGCTGTCAAATACAACCATGCACTGGTATTGTCTTCAATTAACCACTTAGGCGAAATATATGAATGGTGTCAAACTTATGGTATTATTGTTTGTTGTAGGCTTCGGGCCCTGTAGAGGAGCCAATGAGTTTGGTAATACCAGTGATGCCAGCCGAAATGAGTTTGGTAATACCAGTGATGCCAGCCGAAAGTGACGCTGAAATTGAAGGTGAAGAAGTTCGTGTAAGTGATTCTCATCTCTTAGACGGTAAAACACAAATTTTTGTCAGACTCACTATATTAATTGGAGAAGTAGCATCAACCACTTATGTTTATAGTTAAGGAAAGATAAGGGTGGGTAGCTACATGAGTCATGACATTAATTAATTTGGCCAATTAAACACTTTAGCAGGGATTTTAGTACTACGATATAGTAATATTCTTCTTCACTTGTAAGTGAAAGGTTTTAAGTTCGATTCTCGTCAAAGGCGAATTTGAACCATATTATTGCTAACTCATTGTAAGGCTAAACTTACCCTCTTTCTCTTAGTGTAAATAATACCATTAGTTATAAAAAAAAAGACCTTCAGCAAAACATATTGAAGAAGAAATGGTATTGTTAAAAGAAAATTTAATTTTCATATACCAAAGGAGAGCTAGTAATAAGTAATAAGATTTCTTAGTTATCTACAAGAGGCAAATTAACCATATAAACTTGCTTGTTTTCCTGTATACAAAGCAAATGCGATTTCACTTCATTTAAAAAAGAAAAATTGGATGAGAGATACTGTTATTGACAATTTAAAAAAAAAAAAAAAAAAAATCTCACGCTCTCATTCTCACAAGATTTTGAGTTCGATTCTCTTTCCTACTTTTCCATGGCTCGGCAGGGTTCATATGAATATTTAGTGGCAACACTCTACAAGAACTCCGACGGCATCTGGCGGTTTTTTTTTTTTTTTTTTTTTTGGGTTTCTTACAAAGTTGAGCTCGAAGTATCTTAGTAGAATGTGTGCCTAATGAAATATTTGAATCAATGTTGGAAAAAAAAAATATTTGAATCAATGCAGTTAAGGATCTCAGGCGGTGAAATGAAAGGAATCACTGAAGCTCCACACTACATAGAAAACGAAAAGGATCCAGTCCTCAAGGAGTTGCGGAGCTTGAATCCCCTGTCTTCCTGGCGGTGTATCTATAGAGTTCCTAAGCGACTACGGCAAGGAAATGAGAAGGCATATACACCTCAAGTAGTCTCTATAGGCCCACTTCACCATGGCGAGGAACCCTTAAAAGGCATGGAAGAGCACAAATTAAGGTACCTGCGAAGTTTTCTAGATCGAACCGGGGTAAGCTTTTGTGATTATATACAAATGATAAAGAACCAAGAGGGAAGGTTGCGAGGTTTTTATGCAGAATCCGTTGAGTTTGGCAGTGATGAATTTGTAAGAATTGTTTTAGTGGATGCCGCCTTTGTCATTGAGCTCTTATTGAGGTACTATGACAAAAAATATGGAGGTGAAGATGATTACATATTTAACAACCCTAGGATGTTGTGGGATGTGCGTCCAGACTTGCGGTTGATTGAAAATCAGCTGCCATTCTTCATTCTTCAGGATCTTTTCAGATTTTTTTCTTCTTCTTCTCTTTCGTTACTTGATATTTCCCACAAATTTTTCAAAGGCGAAATTGATAGCAAGGGAAAAGAAGAGAATTTTAAAAATATTTCTAATGGAGATGTACAACATTTTGTTGATCTGATAAGAATTCTATACGGACAGTTGAAATCAAAAACTAGAGCTAACATCACAGTCACAGACACACCCAACGTGACAGAGCTACACCAGGCTGGAGTCAAGTTTAAGGAAGGAAAAGGCAGCAGCTTATTTGACATAAAATTCTCGCATGGGATCCTCGAAATTCCAAAGTTAACAGTGGACGATACCACAGAGCTGACACTCAGAAATCTCCTTGCTTTTGAACAATGCCATCGCAGAGAGGAGGATTACCTAGCTAATTATGTTTTCCTTATGAAGCGTCTCGTGAAAACCCCTGAGGATGTGCAATTGCTTGTTGATAAGGAAATCATTGATAATTGGCTAGGTGATACCCATAAGATATCTACTTTGCTTCATGACCTTGGCACCGGGATGATGGTTGACCACCACTACTATGCCCCTCTTTGTAAAGAGCTGAAAGATTACCGCGAAAAGCTCTGGCACGGATGGATGGTAATTTTGAAACAAAATTATTTTAACACGCCTTGGGCCAGTATTTCTGTTGTTGCTGCTGTTATTCTCCTCATACTCACTGTCATACAAACAGCGTGCTCTTACAAATCTGTCCCGCTCTTTTAAATCTGTCCCTTAAGCATCAACGACCGCTAGGCTCTCCCTTGCCATATACTTGGAAGTCTAGCCTAGTCTTTGAGAGAGTACTGAGTTTGCATTTCAATCTCAGGTTTCCTTCAAGTGAGCATAATAGATGTTCCAACAAAATAAAGTATTGAAGAGTGATTTTATATTTGATAGGGAAGCAGTGTCTACTTGTAATGGCTTTGTTGAAGTGTGTGTTGTAAATAAAGAGAAGTGATTCCCACAAACCCTTTTCTTCTCTGCACTTCTATATTTTTTGGCCTTAGATGCAACCAATTGTGCGAAAATCACTTTCCTAAATTAATGCGTATGTAGCTTCTTATGTTGTACCAATTTGATGTTCATCGACCTATGCTTATGTCTTTTTATGTTTGAACAAAAAGAAGAGAAACTGTATCATGTTGATTGTTTTTTTGTCCACACCAAGTGAACATTTCCATTAAAATGTTGCTTTAAGCATCACTTACAAGGATATGGAATTGCTAGTTCAAAAATGTAATTGTTGAAACTCAAAGCTTGACAGGGACGAGGTTAACAAACCTTATTAACCCGAGGAAGTAACTGTTCCGAAGAAATCTCTTTACTGATCCTAGTAAGGACATCAATGCCTACCGCACAAGTGGAAGGCAAAGTTGAAACAATACTCTTTCAATCCCCATGCTCTCTACTTTTTATTGTTGTGGTTGCTGTGAAAGACTAAACTTATCAAAAATATAAGTTAAGAGATTAAGCTCAAGAACCACAAATTTATACAAGTATTAAAATCACAATTCGATAAACACAATGACAAACTAACTTGTAAAAATAGTAGTAGAAGAAGTCAAAGCCGACTTCTAAACAGTGCGCCTTCTCCTCTCTTGCAAAACCAAAAGTACTCAAACTAATAATAGGTCTTAGTTTAATATTGAGCGTATGTTTTGTGAGAGCAGTGGCTTATGTTTTTATACTAAACATAGATTGCCCTATTACAATCCTACAAGGAATACAAGACTAAATCCTTGTATAAGTATGAGTTCTATTTTCGAGCCAACGGTAGAGTTTCAATCCAAACCAAAGTTGAATTAACTCTTATAAACTCATTAAGACCTCTTTATACCAATCTGAAATAACAATGATTATTACTAAACTGTGAGAATCACACTCATACTCTTAACATTCTCCCACTTGAGTATGATTCACAACAGTAAATAATCATCTCAAATTCAATATAAAGGTGATCGCACAAGTCATTCATCAACACACTAGTACATAGATACAACCAGCTTACATAAACAAAACAATGAATTTATAATTACCTCTGCAACACAAAATACAGATTTAACTTATAAATCACAATGTCCAATTCATGTTCATAACAATGTATCTAAGCTCAAAAGTAAACCAAGACGTCTACTCCCACTCATATAGCCACCAAATCTTTTGGATAACAAAAGTTTAACCTCACATACAACTTACCTATGCATTTTAAAGTATTGAACTTAAGAATCTTTTCTGTTACATCGCAGAATTAACTCAAAAGTCACAACATACTTAATTTGCACTTTGTAATTATGTGAACCAATATAACAAAACCAAACCAATTTGCTCCCACTTATCTAGGCCATACTCAACACAACCAAGTTAAGTACAAGTTAATAGCAACTATATTAACTAAAATCATTCAATACAACGAATGACTAATCAGAATCCATATGGAAACCAAATTCGTTTCTTTTTGAATGCTAACATAATATGATCCTTCTCATTACTTAAACAAATTAAGTAACACAAATAATTCAACCAATTGCTTCAATAAAACCATAAACTGGTTTTTAAGCATCCATATGAATTATAATGGCCGGCCTAAATACTCTTAGCCTTATGCTTACATTCGAACATATGATTCTCCCACTTAAAGCATAAGCAGAATATACTGCACAGTCGATAAAGAAATCGGAGATATGAACCAATTGGTTCCCGATTCCTTACCTATTTCATAATCTCAGTTTAGTCATATAAACCTAAACCATTATGCAAAACAGTCTATGTATCAAAAGATAGTCACAATCCATTCGGAAAAACTTATCTCACATAAACCCAAAATCACCAGTTTCAACAATGATCAAAATTAGAATAGCAAACACAATATTTTTGCATTCAATTTGATCTTAACTAGTTCAATATCCATCGAGAAAGATCAACCAAAATTTGATAATGTTTGGATATATATCACAAACAATATATCTTAATTAAAACGAGATAATCAAGACCAGTATTTCTTCTGGAGAACTCGAAGTTCGTCTTCCTCCCTATTTGTGATTTCAACCAAAATATAATAGCGGAAGCATGCATCATGAAATCACAAATATACATATACAATAAGCATGCATCGATATATACATGATAAGATTAGTCGACAATAATCCAAATTAAAATCTTCATGCCTTTAATTCATTGTCAACACTCATCAATTATATACAG